TTACAGCCCTCTAATGACTGTAAGTGTAGTGCTGTTTCAATTCGAAACACCTTGACTATTTTAGAACACGTACAAGTCAAATAGCAATAATTCTAAGCACTTCTTTTACACTATTTCGGAAACCTAAGGACTCGATCATATGGAGCTAAAGCAAAAGCTATTCCAAACGGTCCCTATAACATGTAAATATATGGAGACTTCAAACTGCTTAGCCTCATGCAACACATAAGTTTTTAGATTAAGGTGTTTGAATTTCATTTTTCAACTGGGAATGTGCACAAACGAGTCGAAGATCTTACTTGAGCCTTGTCAAGCAAATATCGGCACAGGGACTCTGAACCATTAATGGCACCAAAACCGTCAATCTCCACTCCAAAGTAGGAGCTGAAATCAAGGAAGAGGTAAAAAGCTCCCTGCAAGGGTTCAACAAAAGTTTTATAAGGCAAAGATAGAAAATAATTACTTTCGACTACCAAAATTAGATGTCTTTTTATCCATTAGGTCCTAGCAAGAATAGTAGGCAAAACAAAATTGAACTGTTACCTGAGGCTCCGAGATTTTAACTCCCTCCATTTCTCCAAAGCTTTTAACCAGAAAATCTCTCCGCTCATGGAATGCCTTGACCATAACTGACACTGCCTCTCCACCAGCATATCCCATTCCTAAAGCTGCAACTGCTGCTTTTTGAGATATGCTGCTGGCACCTGAAGTGGACTGAGAAAACCAAGCACCGAACCTTATTATATTTGTCGTTATCCAGAAAAAAAATGTTACATACATGTTCGACAATGGATATGATGCTCTAAACACTCTACTGATGCAGTTCACATTTAGAGATTGCTAATTATTATTATAATAATGCATTGGAATACAGTCCTAATTTATGGAAGGTCGAAGATATCTAATCCAATTCTGCTTCAGAAAAAGGCCTTCTATTATTTCAAACTCACTTCTAAACAGTTTCGATGAAATCCCCAATTGATTAAGGGAAGATAGATTTTGATTCTAGTTACTTTAGATAGAATATTATGATTGTTAGAGATTGTAGGAGATTTATTTTCCTTTTTCTATGTTATTCCTTTTGTATTATAAATAGAAGACGTTCATTGTACAGTAGGGTAAGGTGAAAAAATAATAAAGGATTTTTCTCCCTTTCTCGACTTTATCTTCTACATGGTATCAAAGCAAAGAAGATGATAGAAATTGCCGCTAATAATAGGGGCTCAATGACCTCTGAATCGCTTCATAGTGACACAGAAACCACTTCTGCCGTGAGTGGAGGGATTGAAAATTTTTCGTTTCAACTCACGATAGAAAAATTGGATGGAAAGAATTACAGGGAATGGACACAGTCTATCAAACTCATAGTGGATGGAAAAGGGATGCTTGGTTACCTCACAGGAGAGACGAAAATGCCAGCCTCAACCAGCATTGTTCTACGAGAATGGAAATCGAAGAACTCCATGGTGACGGCGTGGCTCGTCAATTCCATGAAACCCGCAATTGGAAAAACTTATTTGTTCTTGCCTACCGCGAAGGACGTCTAGGAAGCTGTGAGGGAGATGTATTCTAACGCTGAAAATGTTTCCCAGATCTTTGAAATTAAATCCAGGGTGTGGCAAGCCAAGCAGGGAGAATGCGAGGTAATTGATTATTACCTTGAGATGACGGCGTTATGGCAAGAACTCGACTCAAGTTTTGAGGAAAAATGGAAGTGCCCAGAAGACAGCGTCTACTACCGGAAAAAATTGGAGAACGAAAGGATTTTCGAGTTCTTGGCTGGGCTCAACTGTGACTTGGACGACGTTCATGGAAGAATCCTCGGCCAAAAACCTCTATCGTCACCGCTAGAGGTGTTCACAGAAGTCAGGAGAGAGGAAACCGGAGGAAAGTGATGATCGAAGGTGTGGCTACTGGGTTTGGACCTGGAATCGAAACTTCAGGCCTAAGTGTGATGGGAACCGGGCCTCCAACTAATGGGCCTGCTAATATTAAAGGTGGCCCAGCTTATTTCCATAAGGATGCTACAATTAATGATGGGTCCATTTATTCTAATATTGGGCATGGAGGAGTGAGCCTATATTCAAAAGGGTTGGCTAGTGGGTCAAATTCAAAACAACAAAGAGGTCGACCTTTATGTGAACATTGTCGGGAAATAGGACATAAGGAGGATACGTGTTGGGATCTACACTGAAAGCCAGCAGATTGGAAACCGAGGCAAGGTAACAGAAATCGAGGATACCAAGCATCTATTGATTATCCAACAAGGAAACCCAAAGAATCCAGTGGGGCCTTTAACTCGGAGCAAATGGAGCAACTCTACAAAATGTTTTCTAGCCTTCAACCGTCAAGTCAGACTGCTAAATATAATCCTTCAGGTTTTCTAGCTCACAGAGGTAATTTTTTGAGAGTATTAAAATCCACTACTCAATCTAAAATGCTCTGGATCATTAACTCGGGAGCCTCTGATCACATGACAGACTCTTACCACCTATTTTCTTCATATACAACATGTGCTGGTAATCTTAAGGTTAAAATTGCCCATGGGTCTTTATCAACTGTTGCATGAAAATGGAGTTTTCAAATTTCTGATTCTATAATTTTAGAATCCATCCTTCATGTTCCAAATCTATCGTGCAATTTACTATCTATCAGTCAGTTAACCAAAACTTCCAATAGCTCCACTAAATTTTTCCCATCTCACCGTATTTTTCAGGACCTATCATCCGAGAAGACGATTGGCAGTGCTAAGGAAATTGACGGACTCTACTACTTTGACGACGCTGATGTAAGTAACCAGTGTCAATTTAAAGTTTGTGATTCTGCGTCTGTTCTTAGAGATAGTGAAGTTATGTTATGGCATTTTAGAATGGGTCACCCAAACTTTCAATACTTGAAACGTGTATTTCCCTCTATTTTCATGAATAAAACGCAAATCCCTTTTCAATGTGAAATCTGTGAGCTGGCAAAATATCAACGAACATCGTTTTCAAAATCCATATACAAACCATTAAAACCATTTAAAACAATTCACAGTAATGTATGGGGCCCCTCACGAGTCCCAAATCGTACATACACAAAATGGTTTGTTACGTTCATTGATGACCACGCTCGAATTTGTTGGGTCTACCTACTAAACGATAAATCTGATGTCCGTTCCGTGTTCATCAACTTCCATTCCATGATCCAAACGCAATTC